AATTATATGAAAAGGGTTTTGCTGAAATATTTAACATTCTTCATTCTTTGTTTTTTATTAAGACAGAGAGGATAAATTCTTACAGTTGATGCAGACAAATTTAAGCAGAAAAATAATGTAAATATAAAATGTTTCTCTGGCTGGGTGTGATAGTATACACCTTTAATTCTAGCACTTTAGACACAGGGGCAGGTGGATCTCTGAGATAGAGCTGGACCTGGTCTACATAGGGAGTTCCAGGCCAGCTAGAGCTACAGGAAAACCCTGACTCAAAAAACAGAAACAACAACAAAGATAGTTTCTCTGATGTACTTTCTAGAAGTCCTAAAGAAGATAATAAATTAAATTCCTGTTAGACTTCTGCTTCGAGAGAAGGATGGGTTCACGTTGGCTGATGTTTTAAATACGGCAGAGGCTCATTACCATCCACTCTCTGGAGGGATACATGAAATGCAAAGAGCCCAGAAAGACCTAGAGATTAGCCAGAGAGTGGAGAACGGCCAACACACAATTCCACAGGAGCTGCTGTCAAGGATGTGGTAGGACAGGATGGCTAGTAGGGTGGAAACAAACCAAGAAAGGCCTATGAAATCAGACTTCCAAAGTGAAAAGCCCAGGCCATTACAGAGTTGAATAGGTGGAACCTAGGCTAGAATCACTCTTAAAGGTAGATGCCCAACAAGCTATACAGATTGTGCTAAATGAGGTGGAGGTGTGTCCTTTCCACACCAGCATGAAGTACCACGAGTGGCAACCTCTCTTATAGCCCGTGCCTCAGGCAGGGTTTCAACAAATAAATGCAGGGGTACTAAGGTCACCCCAGGTGGAGGATGGAGGAGGATGGGGCCTTAAATGTAGTGAAGTTCACTTCCAATAGGAAATTGTAGTGCCATGGATTGTTACTCATCAACTTCACCCATGCCCACCACAAATATAGTACACTTTGTATTCATTAGGTTTTACTTGAAAGTCCAAATTACAGCCATCTACTTAGTTAGGCTTCTGTCTATGCATAGAACCCAGATGACCTGCAGACCATGTCATAAACACATGGTATGTAATGATGCACGATATTAGGGTTGTATGAAATATGACTTCCAGGTAATCCTCTCTTCTACATTAATATTTTATCTGTAATAACTTATTTAAATATGTAAAGCTAGTCACAAAACCCTCACATTTAAGGCAGAGGCAGGCAGATCTCTGTGAGATTGAGGCCAGCCTGGGCTATGTGGAGGGTTCCAGGTGGGCTGGGGCTAGGAAGACTGTGACAAAAAAAATTTAAAGAAACCAAACTTCACATTTAAATTTTAATTGTAGACCTCAATCCAATAGAGCCTAAAGGTACAGATAGTACTGAACGCTATGTATGCAAATAGTTTCCCAGTCATGAATCCTTATTATAAGGTTTCTTTAATAAATCAGGCACACTAAAATATTAAACAAGAATGATTAATAAAATAGAAAAATATAATATTATTCGATGATAAGATGTGAGAATAGAGGTCTCTCCCAAAAGGTTTTCTGTTCTATACCAATCCTTTCCGTGAAGAGAGTTAACAGGGCCTAGGTGATGCCATAAAGGCTGCAGAGGTCATGTGCCAGCTCCAGACTACTGTGTAAGGGTGACTTCACCATGCAGCCAGCAATAGCAGGTTTCAAAAGCGACACTAAGAATGCAGCTGTGAGTGACCTGGCGGAGGGTGTACAGGAAGAGGACATGACTCACATCCAGGCAGGAAGGAAGACAGCCTGAGGGTAAGTCACATGGCTGGGAATAGGGTACAATTTACAGATCATAAACTGTTTATTTCTGTAATGTTCCATCTTACATTTTCAGGTCACAGAGGACTGAGGCTCGTGGTAGAAATTCCAAAAACCAGAGAACTATACTTGCCTTAGAGGAGCTAAAGCTCGCAGTTCAGAATAAAGAAGAGAGGGAGGGAGAAAGGGAGAGAGAGACGGAGAAAGGGAGGGAAAGAGGGAGGACCCAGGAATCCCACTTCAGCAGCTTGGTTACTCTTCTATTTAAATGTGCAATACATAGTGTCAACATATAGAAAATAGACTGTTGTGTTTATCTGTGTAGGTGATCGTGTATGGCAGCTGCACATGGGTGAAGGCCAGAAGCTTTCCAATATCTTCCTCTCTCAATCTCCACCTTAGCTTTGAGACAGATCTCTCACTGATGCAGCTAGGAGGTTGGTATCCTCTTGTTTCTGCCTGCCCTGAAACGGCATTAGAGGAGCTTGCCTCTGTGCTAGACTCTTCCCTTGGGTGCTGGGGATCTCAACTCGGGTCCTCAGTCAGGTCCTCACAGTTGCACAGCAAACATGCAAAAATCTTAAGTGCTAGATTTAGTATTTTTCTTTCCTTCTTTTTTTGCGCTAGAGACTTCTACTTTCCACAACAGCAAGTATAACCTACACAGATCATTACTGAGAGCGACAGCCTTCATTCTGGCTAATGTAAAATACACAAGCACACATCAGTTCACACCACTAATACCTTATTAACATGCCATATAAGTATATTCTTTTCTTAGGAAAGCAAATCCCATGGACACTGTGACACTTCTTACCTCAAAATCAATATCTGAACAACAGCTGCAGACAACACATGGACCAGTAACTCTGAGAACATCCTCTTTCTTCTCATTTTGAAGTGTAAACTTCGGCAGACATGGGTGCCAGGTCTGAGTAACATAACCCACCGGCACACCAGGAGGAGCCTGGATTTCGATCTGCAAAAGCAAAGGTGTGTGTCAAGCAACCCAGTCACAGCCCAGGTTCAACGGAGGCTTGGAAACCCCTGTTCAGCCTCTGGTCAGGCTGCTCTGGTGGCTGCACACTGACCTCCTGGAGGCAGCAGGGGAAACAGCAGCTGCTGCATCTCAGGGGTCTCTCCAGAGCGATGACTTCTCGGCCCATATTATCCAGGATCTTCATGGTGAAAGGTCGAGCTGCTCCACAGCAGTTTCGAGTACAGCAGTCATTATCTTCCACTGCGAAGTAAACCCTCTGACCAAGGCTGTTCTTGATTTCGTATTTGTTGTTCGTTTCAAAGCCTGTTAAGACTAAAAACGGGAAGAAATGTTCACCATTTAGTTAAGAATACTGATATGTCAGGGCACTTATGTGGCATGTGATAGGAAATAGCCACAGCAAAGGGAGAAAGTCAGCGGGGCAGAGATGATCTGGAGTCAGGAACTGGCAGTGGGAGAGGAGGAAGAGAACTGTGAAGGAAACGGAGTCCTTGTGTGAGAGGTGGAGAGAGGGAGGGAGCATCTCCACTCCAAGGGCTCTGTCAAAGGGAGGCTCTAGTACATGGTAGGGAGAGGGGCCAAGTATGTGGACAAATGCCCCCTTATCTGACACAGCTTCTTGTATTAGGGAGGGGTTTCTGCCTGATTGCTGTGTTTATAATCTGGGAATTACAGTAAACCAATGGTTTGAGATTGTAGGGTGTGTGTGTGTGTGTGTGTGTGTGTGTGTGTGTGTGTGTACTTGACTGAGGGCTTGCTCTAAAAGTACAGGGTGGATAAGGAGAACTCAGTGCTGGGGCCAAGGGCACCCTTGTTTAGCTCAGTTAATACTTCAAATCCTGAGTTTTGCACAAGTGGAATGCTGCATAGCAACTACAGCTTCAATTTACATAAGATCTTTCTCCTCTAAGAAACCTTTCCACTTCACAGGTGCTAATGTCTTCATGGGTGACAGAGTGGTGCTAAATGCTGACACCCAGAGGGCTTCAAGCCATGGTCCTTGCCTACTGACCCACCTCACATTGGGATCCTCTCCTTCCTTAGAGCCAGGAAGGCAGAATGAATCTCCTCTCCTGTGCACAGCCTCCGTGAAATTTGGGTCATAGTTGGTTAGAACACACTTGGTTTTCCAAAATTGTGAGTGATCATATGATACTTGCAAAAGCCTCTGCTGTCTGTGTGCAAGAACTGTCAGCCCTATGGAGGTTCCTTCTTATATCCTGTGTCATCAGGAACTTGCTGAAGTGCCTGTGGGAGGGCTGAAAGGGTCCCTGAGCTCTGCATTCATAGGAACCGATAGGTAAAAAGTTGGCGGAGAACGAGCGAATGGATGATGAGGCACCGAGGCCCAGCTAAAACTCCATCAAAATAGGGTTTATTAGCAAAGGAACACATGGGGCAGATTCCCTTCCGGGCAGGGAAAATGTCTGCCCAGGTCTTGAGCTGGGGTCTTTTAAAAGGGAGGCTTCTGCCTCCTGCAGAAGGTGGAAAGATGTATTTTTTTTTTTAAGTTGGGGGGGAGTGGGAGAGCAGGACTGTTAAAACCTGTCCTCTTTAGAAATCAAAGGGGAAGCCTGCTGTGTTGGCCAAACAGTGGAGAAAGCAGAGAAAAGTCCGCTTCTCTTGACTTCAAAGACCAAGGTGCTTATCAGCTAGGTTCCCTTTTCTCAGGAGCATGAGAAGTCCTTGGGATCCTGTTGGTGAGGGGGGCCTGGCTATCTGAACCTTAACAAGAACCAGCCCTTATTTCCACACTCAGCAGTGATGTTGAGAGGGCATTTATTGTTCAATCTGCTGGCATTTTAGTATTTTAATCTCAGAAATTTTGAGTTCGTCAAAAATGTATTATATAATTTCTCATGCTCCTTCTGGTGACTTAAAAAATGAAAACAAATAAAACCCCTTACGTCAATATCATTTTTGTCTATTAAGATTTTAATGTGGTGGTCTATTAAGATTTAATGTGGTGGTGCATGCCTTTAATCCCAGCACTTGGAAGTCAGAGGTAGGTGGATCTCTGTAAGATCGAGGCCAGCCTGGTTTACCTAGTGAGTTCCAGGCCAGCTGGGGCTACAGGGAGACCCTGTCTCAAAAAGACAAAAAAATAAAAAAATTTTAAAAAAAGAGTCTTATGAAGGAAAATTGGTAATGTTGGTAATGCATGCTGTTCGCTCAGATAATGTAAAACCCAAGTGATTTCATTGTCTTTGTGCTAGTATTTGCATGACTATTTAAATAATTAAGAACATTCTTTAAAAAAAAATAAAAGTATGAAAAATACACTATAATTGTTTATATTTCATGATTTATATATACAGGTTTAAAATGTTAAGGCTTATAAATATATAAGATATTCATGTAGTATATAATACATGGTACATAGTTATTACAACTTTATAACAAAAATAACAGGCACAATAGTATAGAACATTTTTAAAACTTTAGAAAACAACTTATCAAAGCATAAAGAGCTTTCTCTAAGTAAATGTTAGTTCACAGAAACAAATTTAACAAAGTCTGCAATCAGTATGCTCTAATTTCTACTAAGGTTAAAGAAATCTGAAAACACGTAAGGATAAATTCAGCAGATATAGATTTCATCATGCTCTGATTACGTGTACACATTGGGTACCTACCCAGGGTGTCCTGCCCCTAGTAGGTGTCCTGATATAGCTAGTGGCTTCTTAACTTTCTTTTGTACTGAGGACACTGGATCCAAGAAGACATTTGGAGGTACCTGTCCTGCTCAGCAGCAGGAGTGTTCTGTGGGGAGCAGACACTCAGGGTCTCTGGTCAGCAACTCCCAGTACCACAGGCCCTGCATGAACTAGGAATCCACAGCCCGTGGGACATAGGTTTGACAGGGGTCCTTTGACCTCCCAGCAAAAGCTGTGATCAGGGCCCTAACAATGATTTTCTAAAACATGCCCATCCTGATTCCAAAGGACAGTTTACTCTGGGAGCTGAACTATTGCATAAGGTTCTGAAGTCTCAAGAGGATCAGGAAATGGCCAAAAGCAGCAGGCCTCGTGGAAGTCAGGTGATGGTGATTAGAGGTCAGCTCAGCGACTTGCAGAGCAAGAAACAAAAGACGTTTCCTTCTAAGTGAAGATTTCATGAGCACAGAGGCCAGGGTGCGAAGTCTGACAACCTGACTCCTGCTGTTCAGACCTGAACTGCAGACACTGTTCATCATGTCATTAGTGCAGAGACATGCTCTAACAACCCCCCTGAACTTCCTAGGAGAGCACTGTGGTGTGGAGGCTGATAGGCCTCTTATCTGTGCCAACTGCTTCTCTTTCTAGAAATGTCATCAGCTCCACAAATACCCACCTTCCAGAAGTTCAATTTGCTGATGAACCAGAATCTGATCTATCTGTTACAGGAAAAAAAGGGAATTATGTGCATGAGCCAGTTATCAATATTTCAGTTTGTATTCTGTTTCATATAAAACAAAAAATATATATTTTAATTTATAAAACATTTGTAGAAATTATTCACTTACAAAGATTTAGGTTCAATAAAATTAATTTATACCAAAACCTGTATTAACAAAATAGCATTCTTCCTAAAATTGCTCAAGAAATAGTGATACCACTTCAATCAATTTATTATGCTTTTTTCTACGAGATTGAAAAATGTTATGTGTGTTTGATATCATCATTCGTAGTAGGTGATAAATCTAGTATTTATGAAATCTGGATTTTATAAATGTCTATTTTAAAAGTTATTTTGTCACAAAATAATGTTAAAACTTCCTGTATTACATGCTGTTTGACTACCTTGCAGAAAGTTAAATTCATACAGACAGCCAGAGCCACACTTGATTCAATGGTTGGGTATTAGAAGGCAATTTGTTTTTATGTTTATAGGTTGGACATACTTCTTTTTAAATTTTAAAAAAAATTTTATTTTAAGTGTATGAGTATTTTGCCTGCATGTGCATAAGTACACCCGTGAGAACAATGCCTGTAGAAGCCAGAAGAGGGCGTCAGATTTCCCTGGAACTAGAATTGCAGATAGACCGCTGTTAGCAATCATGTGGGTGCTGGGAACTGAGTCCTCTAAGAACAGTCAATGCTCTTAACCGCTGAGCCATCTCTCCAGCTCCTGGACATATTTCTTGTTCCTGTTTTACCCCCTGAGTTTCCCTGATCAAACTAATGTTAAAAGTCATAACCTCCAACATATCATGCACATTCCTGCCTTTTTTTTTTTGAGACAGGGTCTCCCAGTAGCCCCAGCTGGCCTGGAACTCACTATGTAGACTAGGCTGGCCTCAAACTCACAGAGATCTGCCTGCCTCTGCCTCCCAAGTGCTGGGATTAAAGGCGTGCGCCACCATGCCTGGCTCTTCCTGCCTCTTCTTATCTGTAGAATTTATAAAAGTGGATGTTTCAAAGAACAAAAGCAACATCATAAACATGGAGCTTTACTGGCTCTAAAAATGATTCATAATTATAAGGGCCTATATCAGTGTTCACAAGAAAGAAACTGGGTTTAGCACCAAAGTTCAGATTAAAAGGCTGGTTCTACTTCCTTAGGTTTTCACCCATCACAAGGTACAGAATTTCCTGTACCACATTTTCTTCTTCTGAAAAACAGTTGTGATTATAACACCTATACGTCACAGATTTTTCTATAATGATTGAGATTATACATGTAATATGCTTAAGAAATTGAATTGAAAATAGTGCTTAATAAATATTGGCTATTGGTTATTATGACAAGTTGAAGTCAAGATCACAGAAAACATAATCACTTCACATATTAATATTTTGTTTAAAAAGTAAATCTGACCCAGAAGAATTAGGAGAATCTGTTAGCAGAAAATGTGAATTTTCTTTTTCAGACTTCTGTGAATTTTTCATCTGTGACAATTAAAATCATGAAGTACTTTTGTCTTTAACAAGTATTCCAAGCATTTCGACTTGCCTGAACCAAGTATTCTAGCCCAGGCGGGCAGTTCAGTGGAGGTGGTGGTGCCGGCATCCAGGGGGCCCCTGCAGGGCCACCTGATTGACTGTATACTGGCTGACTTTGGACAGGAAAACCACCTGGGCCAGCACCTGCATAGCCTCCTGGTGGGACTGGGTAGCCGGCCTGTGGTCCTGGATAGGCTCCTTGGGGCCCTTGGTAGCCAGCCTGGGGCCCTTGGTAGCCAGCCTGGGGCCATTGGTAGCCAGCCTGGGGCCCTTGATAGCCAGCCTGGGGTCCAGGGTAGCCAGTGTGTTCTGGAGGTCCTGAAGTAGGAACAAAAGAAGTAGTTATAACTACACACACACACAACACAAAAAAAAAATAAATCAGATTCTTAAAACTATCCCAACTATCAACAATGTGACCTCTAAGGTCAGAAATCCTATAGATTTAGGGTCTTTGTGATGCTTAAAGTTCTTATCAGTTTTTCAACCTATGGTTTTATGTCTATTTCTATTTTTGATGCTGGAGGCTATATAGAGACAGCATACTTCATTTCCTTTGAAAACTTGAATGGAAAAAAATGTGCTCTCATACCTGAGAGCGGGAAAGAAAATCAGCTACAACCTAGAGTCACTGCATAAAACCTTCCAGCACGCCTTCATAGAAAAGACCCAAAATGAGGCTGTGAGCAAGGTTTTCAGGGGCCAAAAGTGCCCCAAATAAAAGAGAACCCGGGGATTCTAGAAAACTGCATGTCTTACAAGTACAGGGTTTGGAATGGGTTTCCTCTAGCTCCTCAAGGGACAATGGGGGTGCTCCAAGATAAGAGATGGAAAAGCTTTGGAGGAGGTCTGGTGAGTTCCAAGTGGAAAGAAAGAGAATATCAACACCCCAACTGTGAGAATGACTTTGGCCCAACTTTTAAGAGAGGACCATGTCTGCCTGGTTTACTATGAGGTTAATTAAACCATTCTGTAAGTGCCTGCATTATAATCCACACTTGCTAGGAATTCTCCAACCAACATCCCTGTAAGAACTCAGAGAAGGTCTCACCATGCCCAGTCTCACATTAGAACCATGTCAGAACTACCTGGCTGTACGGAAATTACCTGTCTGTGAATCAGAGGTCTGCGGGTGCCCTTGTGCTAGAATGATAAGTGACTGGTAAGTGCAGCCATGGTTGAGAGCTACCACCTTAGAGCCTTGGCGCTTAACCAGTTCCTATTCTGTAGGAATGACTTTTACAATATAGATACAATCTGAACTAGAGACTTTTACTTAACCTTGCAAGGAACAAGTTACTGTTTTATAAAGTAAGCAAGCCTACTTGCTCTCTGATCTCTCAGGGCCCCTCCTTGCCCTCCACTCAAGACAGTGAATGAATGTGAGTATGCATACTTTACATATCAAAGAGCTGAAAGCCCTATGCTTTTCTCGTTCCAAACATTGAGAAAAATGTGTTTGTTGTTGGTGTGATAGTCCAGACCAAGGGATCAAAGGGCAAGATTCCCTGAAAGGTGGGTGGCATCTAGTCCACATTTCATGTTGAAGATAGTTTCAACAAAAGAATGAGCTAGGCCCCTGCTGGGAAGCACAGTTCGAGGGACATCTGAGGGAACAGGAACAGGGTAGTTCAGGAATGCTCTTGGCCTTAAAACAATCAGGTTGTCTGTTTTTTACGCATTGCCATAATGTGGTTTGAAAAGCTGCAATATTCTTCAATTTCAAACAACTGGATTAAGATTTGGGACCCACAAGGAGTTTTCTACAACAATTACACAGGTAAGTCAACTCCCAAGTCAGTTTGCTTGCTCAGAAAAGAAAACAAAATGCATACATCTTTCCAGCCAGACAAAACACCTTTGATCCTAATTCTCAGCATGTTCTTTGAAGATGTGGAGAGTCTGCTCTAGGTAAATCTGGGCACAACATCAACTTCGGCATTTGCAAAGGTTCAGTAATGCTGTTAACTGCATTTGCCTAAATGAAACTCTTTCAATTGTTTTATGCATTGGTTCAAAATAAAAAGCATAAAATACATACTCCTTAGCATATATTGGTATGATCACTCTGGAGTCCACCAGCCTTGAACTTGAGACCCTCCTGCCTCAGTCTATCATGTGGCTGGGATTATAGACCTGCACCTCCAGGGCTGGCTAAAAATTATTTTTTTGTCATATGTGTTCCAAAATGAAAATGAAACTCCTAGTTAACTTTCAATTTTAAGCCATCTTTTCATTTGCGTTATTCTCACTGAACACAATTATTTCTGAGCACTAATTAGCTAAAAAATCAACTATGGAAAAAAACTTTCCCAATGCCATTTGCTGATTATTATAGTCTTCAGAATAGACGAACAGTCAATAAACTATCATCTAATATGAGTATGCTAGGGTTTAGAGTAAGTGAAACATTGTTGCTAAATGTAAACTCACTCCAGACTTTACAACTTTTCTTTACAACCCTTACTTACTGTCCTCCATAAAAAATACTTCTACAGAAAACACATCGAACAAAAGAAAATTAAAAAATAGCTAGGCTGACAAAATTCCTTTAATGTAACGTCATGAAAAAGAATTACTAAATTAACATGTGTCCCCTCCCCCTTGGGGAATTCCAATTGGCTCACATTATTTTTTCTTCTTCAATCTTTTTTTTTAATTTTTTTACCTTGGAATGCTGCTGGTGGGTACGGAGGGCCATACCCAGCTGGCAGATGTGTTCCTGGGTGAGGAGCCTCCGTTTGCATGTCTGCAGTTCAGAGAGAGGTAAGTGTACATCAGCTTGGAAAGATGACCATTGGAAAGAGCAGTGCCTAATGCTGAGATGATTTTCATGTTGAATTGAAACAGGCAAAAGGAAGTTCAAAACACAAGTTGTGCCTATATCAGAACTGATGTGGAGGAGCATTTTATTTCAAACACAGGTGTAATGGTAGATAAGTTGAGAGAATTACATGTGATTTCTATTGTTTTGAAATTTACCTTAAATAGCTTAGAAAAATTGTAGAATGATCACATCCTTCCAGTGATAACTTAGTTTACTTCTGTGTATGTATAGATACATATGTACACATACTTATGTAAAATTATTCACATACATACACATTTTATTTCTATTTAGGCACATATAGACATACACACATAATTGAGTACAATTGTTTGAGATGAAAGTGAGAGCATTATGATTGGCATTATTTAAGCCTAAAACATATGTGTGGTAGGCTTAAATAATCATTTTACAAAAGGTGTATGTTGTAAAATGATGCGTGTGCTATAAAGTACATATCAAGGTGTGCGTGGGAGCATTTTGCACAATGAACTGGTATGCTACATTTATCGTTTGTTGATTGATATGGCTAGAATAACCCTATGCATGTCATGTATGCAAAGAAAGTAGAAAACTGTCTGGATAAGATATAGTATGCTCTATACAACATACTATTAAAGTTAGTAACATTTTATTTATCTTTCTCTATGGCTTTCCTGTTATTAACTAGCAGCACTGAATATTCGTGTCTAACATCTCTACAGTTGGAATATTAAACCAGACAACAGAACCTTAACGTAACACTGAAACAAACTATGTAATTCCAAGAACTGAACAAAAATTATAATAAAAGTTTTGAACAGGTCTACTGTTTCAAGGAAGAAAAGTAAACACCCAACTTAAATTACTTACTGTGCTTTTCCATGATTCAGGTAGTTCACAACTGCCTATTGTAGAACCCTGAGACCCTCTTCATTCACCCGCTACCCCCCAATCCCTCCAGACCCCCACTCATTGCTCTTTTAGCTTCTGTAAAATGCTTGGCTGCTGCTTTAGACATGCCTAGACATACCCTGGCATGCCCTGACCCCCGCCTGCTATTCCCCATCCCCCTTCCAGGAAACTATAGATTAAGCAAGCCCGAGCATAAAAACTGCCCTATAACGTAAAAACGGAGACTCCTGGCCCCACAAGTAACAGTCAGCACATTCCACAGCCCTGAGAATAGCACCTACTAGTAAGAAACTTCCAGGGCTGCATCTTATACATCCAATCGGTTTAAAATTATGTTGGTGTGCGTGGGCTCCTTGAACCAAGCAAAATGTATCTTTGGTATCTCTCCCCCCCTTTGTCTAAAACCTGAAAAAGGCTCCACTCTCCCTTACTCTGGGCTCTCAGCACGGATCCGTTGAGTTGGTGAGGTCTGAGAGCCTGAGCTTAAGCCCATAAACCTTTGCTTTTGCATTTTGGTGTGTTGGGTCCTCGGTGGTCTTTTTGGGGTCCAGTGGATGGGGTACAACATCACAAATTCATCGTCAGATATGATGGCTGGACCCAGCTGTCAGTATCCAGGTTAGTCTTTCCCACCTCTGATTTATCTGGTCTAGCCTAATCTAGTTATTCACACTTTTGACCTTGATGTTTGTCCCCAACCTGTGTTTCTCAGTAGGACTTCAGATGTTGTTGGCTGGACCATGGCAGTGACACTCCTAAGTCTTTGGAGAGTGGACCCAGGAAGGAACACCATGAATCAAAGACCCTGACTGGCAGTCAAGCTGAAGGGCAGTCTTCACAACACACACTTCCAAAATAAGTATGTGACCCAGGTCTCGATCTGAGCTCAGCTCCAGGAGAGCTGGGTGAACTTCCAGGGCAAAGGACTGGTGTCTAGAATCAAGGACGTGAGGACTGCGCTGCCCAATGCCAGCAGCAAATTTGAGAAGATCTAGCTGTTCTGTGTGTTGCTTTTTACTAGAGAACTTGGTAAAGGTTCTAATGGTGACAGTATCCTTGATCATTTAAAATGAACATGCGTTTGATGACTTCTGGAGAAACATGAGTAATAAGAATAAATTTCTACTCGGTACTTCTGACTCCCAGTGCTTAGATCCTACCTCAGTAAAGTCTAGGGAGAGGATTCTGTACTCTAAATTACGTGTCTATTGATAACTGAAGGATATTAGGCAAAAATTCTGTTACCCAACTCTTTTACCTTGAATCCTTGTGAATGAAATCAGTACCTCCTCCTCCCCAGCATACTGCACTGTGGCTGCGCTTCCACTAACTCCCTCTGCTTTTGCAATTCTAAGTGTCAAATCGATCAATCCATCAGTGTCTCTGCATAAATAAGTAAATCCAGTGTTCCCAAGAAACAAGCGCTATTTTCCACACCATTTCACAAAATTGTTTAACAGTAACAATTGTAAGTATAAACTTTCACTGCCTAGTGAAATTATTGAGTTCTAAGTTCTATCATCTCAGTTCTACGTCCACTGCATGCAAGAAGTTTGGCAGAAAAGATTCCCTTGCCCTAGAATAAAACTAAAACCTTTGCATTACTGGCTTAAATTTCTGTTTTCTCAGAACAATGGGAATACCAGTTTGTATGAACTGAGCAGAAGCCAAGGCCTGTGGCTGTTAACCAGCCTCAAAGGCAGAAATGTAAGTATTTATGGTTGTCTTCATTCAACCCCCGGCCACTACTAAGCATTAAGTAACCAGGGTATACTAAAAGGCTATGTGTGCTTCAAGCTTCCTTATATGAAGAATTGTAAAAAGAGAAAATTCACAGAAAGAAAGCCATAGTCTTCTTTGTCAACACCAAATTTCCATTATGAAAGGTTATCTGCTAGATGAATTTTCATAAAATGAATTTTCATAAAATATACCAAGGGCACCTTAACAGATGAATAAACTTTTAAAACAAACACATCTTGAAGCAGAAATGAGTAGTATCTTTTATGTAATATGTTGTATTAAATGTCTTTGAATTTTTAAAATTTGTCCTGTTTCTTCTATCACACCTCAATATGCTTTGCTTATAAAAGTTCTATGGCCTCAACTTTATATTTCTTATATTTTGTAAACAAAACCCTGCACTGGAAAAAAAATCATTTCAGTTACTGGATGTCAAATCTAAGAAGGGAAATGTTTTCATTTTAGTTTACAAATATGTATTCTTACAATTCAGTTGTTTTAGTCTTGCAACTTCAGTATGACCCAGAAATGAAAGACAGGGTAGGAAGCCAGGAAGACTTCCTGCACCATGGCGGCAGGTGGGCTGTAAGGTTCCAGGTCTTTCCCTAGTGAGCAACTGAGAAGACAGTGTTTATTCTTCCCAGAACTAAAGACTATTTCTTCCTTGCACATAAATCCCCAAACAGTGCTCATGTGTGTGTGCTTGCTCTTTTCTTCCTACTTGATTACATCGTTTTAAGACTTGAACTGTGAGGAGCAGCATGTAATGGCAAAACTGCTGCATAATAAAACCCGGGCCTGCATTCTATTCTATTAAGTGTAGCAAGAACACAACATCTCAAGCATTAAAATGGTTCCAGGCAAAATGTCAGGTGGTCACATGTGCCCCTATTAAAATAGACCCCCATGTGTCCTGTGAATGCAAGCGACCATTGTGTGGCTGTCCGCCTTGCCCCCTTCGACCTATCGGGAGCTTTATCAAGAAAAATATCACTCAGTTTTGGAAATAACTGAGTGTGTTCCTGTTGGAAATACTTCACTTTGTTAACTGTTTTAGCCGATGATTTTTTTAAATAACTTAAATACAATTTTAATTTTTAAAATATACCCCAATAAAGCTGAAAATTTTTCTCACAAAAAAACTGTTATGGAACTTGTATACTCAATTCTGCTAAAATAGTATATAGATTGACCAATCAAAAACAGGATCATTGTTTAATATAAAAATCTTGCAGAAAATTTAACATCTTTTAGTAATTACTGTACAAATGATGTTACATAAGCATCCAAAAGAAATGCTTTAATTAATAATTTCTCTTATATCAAGTTCCTTAAATAATTGTTGGCCAAATTTTGAACATCAGACACCTTTTTAACACAAACCACCTTGCTGTTAATTTTGCAACAATTTTACCTATTTGGTATATTCATAAGAATAGTAATAACTAACAACATACAAAAAACTTTATGCTATAATTATAGATTCTGTAAGAGAGCTCTCCTGAGTATAAAATACCTTAGGTATTAACACTAAATTGAAAACAAAAACAAAAACAGGAACTATTTTTAAGCTATTTAAGTCATGGGTTTATTTAGTTTACTTTTTAAATTATATAAAATATGCAATATCAAAACTGTCTGATAATGACTTTCTAGTTCTGCCAGTATTTCTGTAATATATCAATATATCTCTGATAACAATACTGTCAGTATACTGGGGCATGGGAGGTCTTTCTGAGACAGCTAAGGTTAGTGAGGCCACAGCTCAATGTGAGTTACAATCAGGAACTAGCCACAGGACAGGTGTACCAGACATCTTACCTCACATTTAAATTAATCCATTTCCTCCCTTCTTTAGTTCCGGAATATCCCCTCATCCTACACAACCATGTATTTTGCTTTCTTTTTCTCCACCTGTGTAACCTAAGAGATTGTGCTCTAGTAAATGATCTTAATTTGTGGAAAAGAAAAATCAAAACGTGACTAATAATAAAAGTTCATCACCCGGCATGGTGGCACATGCCTTTAATCCCAGCACTTGGGAGGCAGAGGCAGGCAGATCTCTGTGAGTTCGAGGCCAGCCTGGTCTACATAGTGAGTTCCAGGACAGCTGGGGCTTACAGGGAGACCCTGTCTCAAAAAAAAAAAAAGTTTATCAAATTTTGGATTCAGTGCACTAAACATGTAAGCGATTAATCCCCGCTACCCAGAAGCACTTTCTTTTCCAAGATGATGATTCTTTATTCTTCATTTCCTTTTTCCATATGGCACCTTGGCTTTTAAAGAATCAATGGCAAAGCTCATAGCTTCAAGAGATGCTGCCCTGTGAGCTGAGAACACAGCAATAATTGTGCTTGCTTCTGACACTGGGACCGAGCCAAGTCGACGGAACACTGCTATGTGTCTGACTATTTCTGTCTAACGTCACTACAAATCTTTCTGATTTCATTTTCTGCCATTGGTACATATGCTTCATATTCTAGACTAATGACTTTTTTTTTTTTGCCTTCAAAGTTATTTCTTGTAGTCCCTAGGGGGCTCCAAAGCACTAGCCTCCACTGACTGGGGGGATAATGGCAATTTCGTCTCCTGACTGAAGCAGGAGTTGCTGATCTCCAAGCTCGACATACTCTTGATGAACAGCAAATATTACCTGATTTCTAACATCAGCCAATCCAGGATGTAGAGCTTCTATCTCTTTCCACAGCTGTAATGCTTTTATTTCTTGTGGCACAGAAATGGTCTTTGAACGAACTCCTGCTATTTCAGAACCTTTTGCAAAATATAACACTTCAATCTGGCACCGCGGTACCATCTCGCTACACTCCACTCCCGAGAGCGGACTCTAGCTTGATGATTTTTAAATAATGGTTTTGTTGCTCTTGTTTTGAAAAAGTTTCAGAATGTTTTCAGGGAAATGGGGAAAAGTAAATCATATTACATGTATGCAAATGGGGAAAAGTATGTAATAAATTCATATTAAATTGATTTACAATTGCTCCAGAATAAGAAACTTGAAAGGTAACCAGACACAATATACTATATAGATACAAGTAGTATATAAATATAATTATATATGAATCTCTGTGAATGTTATTCCATTAGAAATCACAATCCTCATTGCTTCTCTGGGCGTGTGTGTGTGTGTGTGTTCACATGTGTGTGGACACATGTACACATGTTGATGATCACAGGTGAATTTAGCAGTCTGAAGTTGGTTTATTTATTTATTTATTTATCCAGGTAGCATCTTTCACAGAACCTGGTGCCTGCCAATCTCAGTAGTCTAGCTGGCCAGCATGCCTGTGTGATCCTAGCCTCAGTTTCCCCAGAGGTGGAATGACAGGTAGTGACCACACCTGCCTGGCTTCTAAGTGGGTTATAGGGATCCAAACTTGGGTCTTCATGCTTGCACAGCAAGTCCTTTGTCCATTAAGCCATCGACCCAGTTCTTCTCAAGGTTTTCTGATAATATTTAAACATTCCCACCTGGGACAGAAAGAAACAGTGAGGGGCTGTGATGTGTATGTCTTCACAGCTAATAGCACAGCAAAAAGCCATCTCTTGGGATCCTAAAATTGCTCTTATTGCTTTGGAAAGTATTTTGGAATATTATAACACTACTGCACCTAGAAAATTAAGTACAAACTAGATTCAGGTTTTTTAATCAGAATTGATTTATGAAAATGCCCAAGAACACATGGCTGTCCTCAAATCATCCAACACACAAGGTAAGCAGCTCCCATTTTTCTCACAGCACAAATGGCAATATATGCTCTGAAATACTTCAGCAACACTCGCCTGCTCTAAAACCATCACCAGAATTTCAGGTGCCTAGCTTCCTACCACCAAGCAAGAGTGACATCCTTATCCTTGGGGAAAGGAGAAAATTTGCAGTGGGCAGAATTTGTGAACTTAAGTCACAAATCAAACAATTTTCATGGACTTCTGGTTATGTTTTAGGTAAATTTCATGCATTGAAAAGGTCTGGTAATCATTTAAACAGACATTTGATGTGTCAAATTGTGGGTTTGGTGACTTTGCTGTATTTGCACAAATGGGTTGCTGCAAGGTATGGGTGAGCATTTAGGGACACACCACCCCAACTGTAAGTGTGTGCCCGAAGTGAGTTGCTATAAATGTTCCTAGTAACAGGAAGTAGTCAAACAAAATTTCCCTTGTTATTTTAAGCTCGAGAATAAAGGCAAACACATTTACAATCAATTGGGTGAAGCACATTGTATAATAAACTTTGAATAAGAATTGATCACACACCCAATGAACCCACCAAGAAAGTAGTGATTGAGGCTCCACAGAAACAAGTAAACCGAGAATAAGCAAAAACTGACCTCCACATTGAACTGCTTATTGGGTTCCTGTATTTTTCCTGATAAGCCATTCTGGGAAGTCACATGTTCTCTTGTTGATCTGAGTTATATTTCTTTCTTACTTATAAATGAGGCAACATACAGAATGAAACTGCTGTTCGGTGCCTCTAGGTCCACTAACTAGCTGATGGTTTGTGTTCACATATTCATGCTCCTGTTTCTGTTCACTAAAAAAAAAATAAATAAAAAAATTTAAAAACTTCTAATGTTAGGTAAAATTTGTTAGCTAGTATTTTAAAGGGATTTTTCTACTCTGATAGCAAAGCCTTGAATTCCAGTTTATTATTGTGGGCAGTATTTTTGTACCTAGGTATTGTTTTCAAAGAACTTAATTCGAAAAATGAAAAGAACATTTGCTAACACTCACTAACTAGGGTTGGTCTAATTGAGCACTAGTCATTCAACACTACTACGCTATGGAAGATGTATACACACCCATACATACTTACATAAACATTTCCTGAATATTCACTTTGTACACACCTGTTTGATTTCTTGGGAATACTGGTGGTTGGCATACAGCATGCAAGGCTCTGCCCAGACACTTTAGCAATGCACCTGGCTGCCCAGGGCTGATGATAAGACAGCTAAGTATTATTATACAAAATACTATAAGTGCTGTGGGTGAAAGTGATGGTGGCCCAGAAAGGTAGACTAGACAGGGACACTGATTTCAGACAGTAGCAGTGTTGGTACTGTCAGGAAAGATGAAAGTCAGATTTGAGGAGAAAAAAGGTTTACAATCAGCCAGGCCAAGGAGCGACGAGTGTGGGTGTGCGGTGGTTCACTACAGACAGGTGGGATCACACAGGCAGAAATTTTGACTAGCATCTGGCCTCATTCAAGGGACTGCATAGTCCATGAGTTCCCCAGAGGAAGGAGAAGTCCCTACTGGAGTGCTGGGGAGGTGGGCAGAGGACAGTCATTCAGGGCAGTGTTTTGTCTCCACTTTAAGCTACTTCCTGGAGCCTGATGCGCCTCCCCGCCCCCACCCCCACCCCCGTGTACTTGGGGCTTTGTCCACCTGCAGGAGTTCTTATCTGGTTTAACACTCATTTTCTTGTATCTGTTCGTTGTTCACAGCCCACAGCTGCTGTAAGTATCCAGATAGGAACCTCTGCTGTTAGCAAAGTTCAAGATGGAAAACAGTCCCAACCTTCTCAGTGAGTGTCACTTCTGCCTACAGTACAGCTCCAATAGAGAAACCGGAAGAAAGCTTGTTCCTGGAACCAGGAGGTGGCCTCGCTCAGACTTCTAGAAATAACAGCATATAAATAAAACCACATGCGAGCCAGGTAAAGAGCTGGGAGCAAGAGGGAAGTTCTCAAATATCCGCACAATAAAGGCTTTATGCTTCAGTCTCTACGCAGTGTAAACGAGTGCTCTAGAACGTCCACTGATCGACGCAGAGGTGACTTAACTAATTCCTGTAAGTCTTGTTACACAATTGCCGAACACGTATGAAGACACCGGCTGAGTCCAGAAGGTGCAGTAGCAGAGGCAGGGTCACACTGGGGCAGCGTGTGACCGCAGCCGGTGTACCCCACTCTGACCTCCACCCTCTGTCTTTCTGGTCTGGAATTCTGACTCCCACGCACAGTTTGGGCTCTAGCCCTACTGCCAAGAAACGGGCAAGGTCCGTGAGAGCCGGCAGGGTTTTCGGATGGTTCCTCCTCTTTTCCCGCCTCCCTTTCCAGTGCTCGGAAATCAACCAACATTTCGCACACGGCTGGCAAGGGTGCGGTCACTGAGCTACACGCCCAGCTCCAAGAGGATCCTTCCCGGATCCCTGTCCCTGAAAGCCCGGCTTCTGGCCCTGACTCCAGGCTGTGCCGGGCGGGAAATCAGGGAGGATAAGCCGAAGCGGGGCCCGTGGGGTCTTTCAGGAAAGTGACCCCGGCCATCAGAACGGTTCTGCGCGGCTCTGGGGGAGCCCCGGGGCCCGCACGGCAATAGCTGGCAGCTCTGTCCACTTCCCGGTCTCTACCGCCTGTCTTCTGACGCTGGCCCCGCGCTCCAGCCCCCATCCTCTGCCGCTAACAGCCCACGGGCCCCGTCTCCTCGCGGGCCCCCAGCATCCCTGGACCCCGCCCGGGACGCGTGAGGCCTGCGCAGATCCAGCCGGTCCCGGGCGGGGTCCCGGGGCGGCACAGAGCGCTGCTCACCTGCTGCTGCTTTCCGAGCGCAGCGCGGGAGCCGACCGCTGCGGGATGCCGGGGCCGAGAGGTCGAGGGTCGCAGCTCCCGGGGACAAGCACGGAGACTCTGCGGGGAGCGGCGACTGGCGGCCGCGGCCGGCGCTTCCCGGGTCCCCCGACTGTGATGGAGGCCGGCGACCCTGGAGGAGGAGGAGGTCACGGGACAGCTCCGGAAGCCGGTGGCAGCGCGAGAAGTGCGGTTTTGAGCATCGGGGCGGGAAAGTCAATCGTTACCTGGGGAGTGGCCTTCCCTCGGCCGCACCCCCAGTCCGTGCGGCCCTTACACACCTTCCCGAGTCTCGGAGTCACTCACTGCACCTGCCCCACCTGCCTCGTCCACATTCTCGTATTTGTTCAAAGCTTTCTCTGAACAGAACTTTTTGTCTCTTAAAAAGGTAGCAAAAAGCTCCACTTCAATCAGGTTCTTCCTCTGCATAAGAATGATTCCAGGATAGGAGAGAGAAAGAGAAAGAGAGAGAGAGAGAGAGAGAGAGAGAGAGAGAGAGGAGAGAGAAAGTTGTTCAGGAAAAAGTGATGGGGCGATATGGGAAGAGTTGGAGAGGATTTGATCAAAACACCTCATATGCATGTATGAAATTCTCAATACTTTTTTTAAGTTAAAAAAAATCTTATGGCTTTTACAGAGTTTTTGTTCTTTTCGTAATTTTAACAGTCTTTACCTTTCATTTTATTACCCTGTGCGAAGAAAAGAACCTTGTTCAAATAGAAAACATGCAGGTAGGGTTTGAACTGTTCAATGTGTACCGGAAAATCAGTTACCTGCTTTTGTACGGTTCGAAAGTGGTTCTCAGATTCCAACACGCATAAGAATCACCAGTTAAAACTAAATTTGCAGAGATGTTCCTTCAAAGTTTCTGATTTAATAGGCCTGGTGGGGGACTTCTCTAACAATTTTCACTTGATACAGATTGTGTGAATCACTTGTTTAGAGAACTGTATTGTTTTGGTGCCTTGTTTGTAGAGGGAAGGTGGTCCTGTAAAAGATGACCTTTGCCCCACCCTCTTTGCCCCATGATTGGTGCCCTTGTAAGTGTATTTGACTAAGCAAAATTCTTGCAGGTTTCCAGGGAAGGGCTTCCTGCTTGCATGTATGTATGTATTTATGGACACACATGCACATACATATGCATAAAACTCATAGTTCGTTCATAATAGACAACTATGCGTGCAATTTCATAACTACCCTGAGGCCATAAGACAACCAGTCCTGAGAAAGTGGGAGCCCACGTGTGCAGAGCACAAGAGTACAGCACACTGGTAAGTCAGGAAAGGAACCTGAACTTGCCGCACCGGGTGATTTGTTACTCAAGCCTGGCTTGTGGTTATGAACTCAGGATATTTATCAATGTTGTTCACCTGATTTCATATTCAGTCCAAAAAAGTGTCCTGACTGCTGTCCCTTTCTGCAAGACAGAGTTCATTTAAATTTTATGCTATGGTTGTAACTGTGATTTTTAAAAAATTGAATTGAAGTTTATTTGTTGCCAAATACTTGTGCCACTAAAGATATTGATGTAGTCCTGAGCATGTTCTTACCGCGCTCACCCTGTTGTGTTTCCTGGGATAACTGCTGGTACCAGTAGCTCCCAAACTCTTTCTACCACAGGGAAATGGTGGGACAGGGCTTCATGGGAAGCAGCTGAGGGTGATGATTCACTTTCTGTCTATTCCTTGTGTTGACATCTTTGTGCTTCAGGTTCACCTAAGTTCTGGGCAGTTTTCTAATGGAAAAAGTAGCCTCAGCAAATGATCTTAATTTTCCGCTTCTATCACTAGCATAAAGCTCTTATTAATAAGTGGGTTATGTTATTTGGGGTAATACTGGTAATATCCTCCAAACTAATAATATAATAAAGACGTAATAAAATAAAATAATTAAACTGATAACCACTAAATGGGCACGTTTCTGTTTGGGGTATGGGGAGGGGCTGTGCTCTCTGGCCTTATTCTAAGACCCAGGCTACTGTAAGCGCTGACATGTTTTAGTGCAACACTCTCCAGGCTCTTTGAGGCTTTGACATGTGGTTTGTACACAGAGGAAAGGGGAAAGGTGTAAGTCACTTCCATGAGGGTTTGGGGGCCCATGCCAAGAATTGGAGCATCTTACTTCTGTTCACATCCTTTTTGAAAGCTGGGAACAGTAGTGTGGCACTTCGCAGAAAGAAAAGGAAGTAGATGTCTTATTAAACAAAAAAATTGTTCCATCGTCTGGGAATTTCCACTAAAGATTGAAAGAGAAACCTCTTTTAAAAATGAGCAGCCAGATAGGCAAGCATCAGGATTTATAAAATCTTAAATCCTCTTTTTTAAATAAAATATTTCCAGAAGTTTATAATAAAAAAATATGAAATGTGCCAGAATTATAATCCCATGTTTCTCAGGTCCTGTTGCAAAACAAAAAATGAACATTTTAAAGTAATAAGGAGTAGAACTTAGACTATCAGGATGCTGTACACATTTATTACTGTGGAGTCATCAATCATATGAAGAGGGTATTAATGCAGAAAGAAAGCCTGCGATGACTCTCTATGGTGAAAGACTGCTCAGGAAAATAAAAGTAGTCACGATTGAAGGCAGCAGCAAGCGAGGCATGGTTTCAGAATGAGGCATGGGGTTGACAGAGATTCCCGGTCCTGCAGTGGCATCCAAAACTATGTTCCCTCTTCCATGGGATGTAATTGTTTCTGAGCAGTGCTTGTCTATCCTAGAAATGCAATTTCTTATATCTAGGTGTGAACTCAGAACTGAAATACAGCCAGTTACACTAGGAAAGTCAAACGAATCTGTTACTTCTAGGGCAGAAATTTTTTTTTTTTGGTCTTTTTGAGACGGGGTCTCCCTGTAGCCCCAGCTGTCCTGGAACTCACTATGT